TTGGGTCCTTTTTAAGGAGGAAGGTAGGGAAAAATATTTTAAATAAATAAATTAATTAATTAAGAAGAAGAAGAAAAAGACAGAAAAGAAAGAGGTATATGAATTTAATAAATAAATAAATAAATATGGGGGCTTTAAGCAAGCTTCCACCAAAGTGCATCCTACAAGTGGGGTTGCACCTGTTGCAATTAACCACAGCAACAACACTTTCCCTGGTTTTATTGCAAAGATGTGACTTCAGCTTCTTTTTATTTACCTGATAAAAGAACACATGGAGGATGAAGACGAAACAACCTATAAGAAAAAATGGGAATATTCGACATCCCCCTCTGTGGGGTTGCCCCCTTGCAACAAAAAAAGTGAAATATTTTCTTTTCTAAGAGTAATGAGAAATTTTGTATTGTTTTTTTTTTAAGAGGGTAGATAAATTCGCACCAATTCTCCCATCTTCTTTTCTTATTCCTTCCTCTTCTTCTTTTCTTCTTTTTTGGAGCTTACCAGTTGCCCCTTTTCATAGTAGGCCTTCTGCTTCTCTGTTGGCTTTTGAAGTTTGGAAGAAAATTCAAGAATTTTTTGTTTTGTCTGAGATTTCTGAGTGAGGTGGAATCTTTGCTGTGATCACAGTCTCCTGCTCAGTGTTGATGCTACTAGTATTTTTGACAACAGTTCATAGTTCTTGTTTGTTTGTTTTTTCTCACAGCAACAAAAGGCATTGTGAAAGCACTCACTAGAAAGTCATAATAAAATTGGTCTAAAGCACAATCTTACACATTGCATATGCTGTCTATGAGGTGCCCATAAATAAGCGAACTCTGGTGGGTTATTGTCTTTGTGCTGATGCATCTGATTAAAAGATTATTCAAATCTTAGATAAAATGATCAGTGTCCTTTCCATTCTTCTCCACATTCTTTAATAAAGAGGTAGCTGCATATACTTTCTAGAAAATTATTTTTAAAACCAGAATAGATATTGAAGGTTTGTGCTTTTAAATCCTTAATTTCAAGTTTATTTGCAAAATTTTAAAATAATCTCCTGTAAGTTTTCTTTCAAGGAAATATCCATGGAATGTTATTCCTGTTTTGTTCAAAAAGCAAGCAAAATATCCGGGAAAACACCTTTCCACTTTTTCTTTCCTTAAGTCTTGCTTATTCACAGGTGATGATGCTCTTCCTATTTTATAGTGTATATGGATCTTTGCCATTTTGCTGGAGCTTAAGGAGAAAAGCTCTAATACCCTATTCTCATTTGAAGACTGCTTTTCTACCTTTCTGATCATGCCACCTTTTCTACTTACTTTTGCCTTGGTTAAATTGTCCTGTACCATCATCCAAACTTACCGTACTTTGTAGTTTCATAACATAATCTATGCATCATGAGACTGTGCAGCTTGCCCAGGGCTTACACAAGCTGACTTTAATTCTGGAAGGCAGTGAGGAGGGGAATCAAACTCCCAACCTCTAGCTCCACAACTGGATATCTAACTCACAGAGCTATCCAGTCAGCAGTGATATAAGACTGTGTCATCAGAATGGTTTCACTCGAGAGGAAAATGAAGTTAATATACTGTATGCTCAAAGTTTTCACAATAAGAGCCAGAGTGCACTTATTAGTTATTATCAGAGTTCATTTCAGTCCAAAGCAATGATGAAAAAAATTGAAACCAAGCTGCCTGTGATTTGCTTTAAAAATATTAATGCAAAACCAACAAAACTGCAGTGCCATTAGCAAGCTACACATAATGATGCAACTGGCAGTGAAATTGAACTCTTCAAGCATAAGAACAGAATTTTATTTAAACTCAGCCAACAAACATGACTGTCCTGGAGAATCAAAACATGGATGAGATTGGTTTCTTTGAAGCTGTCCATCTGTTACAGTTCTAAAGTTCTAAAGTCAAGGAGCTATATTAGACTAGTAGCATTTTAAATAATATGTGTTGTGCTGGCTAATGAGGTAAAACCAGAAAAGCAGCCATCCGCTTTGTAATGAGACTGCTCCATAGACAACAGATAAAATTGTATATAGCTGTGAAGACAGAAACCATTACATCACATACCAAGTCCTCCAGGTTTTGCTTTCACTTTGAAAAAAAACCTGTATGTGAAAAATGATCGATGTGGTGATATGACTTGGCTGAAATCAACACCAAAAAAAGAAAATATATACATTAGTTCAGTAAAGATTACAATTCTGTAGCCCATCACAGACATTCAAAGAGCAAAAATATGTGTTTCTCCTTGTGCCATCATCACATCTGAGCACCTGTTTTCATGTTATTGTGACATGGAAAGGTCTGTGTCATTCACTAACATTATAACATGTTGGAAGAATCATTTTTTGCAATCCCTTTCCATAGCAGTATTCTCTACGTTTCCAGGGGCACATCATCATCCACAAGCTTTTTTTCCAGATGGGAAGCAAAATTACACATAGGCTCAGATCCTGTTACATAGTATAGTAAGTTACACTTAAGTAATCTCATTGAATCAGTAAGGATTTGGTGAGTGAACTCCATGAATTCAATTGGTTCAAATGGGACTACTTTAGTTGATTCTTGCAAACTTAACAATACAAGTGTATCAGAATAATTTGTACAAAGACACATAAATCTTGACCTGCTTACCCTAACACAAATTTCATAATTATATTTTTGGGATCTAATCTCTGTATTTGTAAGATGCATTTTTCCCTTTAATAAAACTGTACGGCTCCTACTTAGTATAACAGATGGCAGTGACAAAAATGACTGTGAGACAAGACTTCTGAATATATTATTTTAATTCATATAATATCTAAAACCCCTTATAAATAGCAGCAGCTGTCAGACATAAATCCAGAAAAGAGCAGATCTTACAAAAAATATTTGATTTGTGGGGGGAAAAGATGAAAGTATGCTTCGAAAACACCATATTTTATTGCCTCCTTAGAATTTCTGTTGATCTAAATCACAATTCAGCGTTACGTTTTAAAAATAAGTTTACTGAGCTCAAGGTGTTGTTACATGCATCATTAAACACCAAAGTATGAAGAACATAAAACATCTGGTGTTTCTAGCTGTAGTGGCTTTCTACCATTTAATAGCCTTGAGAAGGTGAATAAGAGCTACAGCATGCAATGTTTAATTTGTGAAGTTTATTTCATATTTTCATTTTTATTCTACACGAGTGTTGATCTGTAGTTCTCATTGTGGTTCTTGCTCCACTTAGCTCATTCTGTTCCCTTTCTGCATCAGGTGGCATTTTCTTTCCGTGCATTTAAAAATGTGCATGTTGGTCCCTGTTTTTCAACTATACACATTTTTGTACATCTACATTGAGAAGAGGACGACAGAGGACGAGATGGTTGGACAGTGTCACCGAAGCAACCAACATGAATCTGACCCAGCTCTGGGAGGCAGTGGAGGATAGGAGGGCCTGGCGTGCTCTGGTCCATGGGGTCACGAAGAGTCGGACACGACTAAACGACCAAACGAACATTGACATATTTTCACCTATCCCTGTTTCTTTCCAGTCCACAAAGAATTTTTACCTTCTGTCAAAAGCCCACTCCTTGACATGCAGGAGTTCAAGTGCAGTTTTCCAGCACACATTTCAGAGATAGTGAAACCTGATATCAAAGTGTATATGTGAGATGTATGAAACCTCTCCTCCAGATTAGATTTGATCCTGGTGCATCTAGGACAGTGGTCAGGGAACAGGGGTAAATTACCTCAAATGGGGTAAAAATGAAAATCCTGGGGGTAATGAGGATGAGCAGAGCGCCAATATTGATGCTCTCATATCCAAGATGAAGCAACATCATTTCTCCAAAACCTGAAGTTTTCAAGCAAGTTGAAGCTTTCAAAGTAATTTTGAATAGATTCAATAAGATTTTGAATTCAAATAATGTATGATTTCCTTCCTTTCAAATCAAGGGGCTAATGTCAGAATATATCATTTTTTTTTGGGGGGGGGGGGAAAAGGTAAAAAAGTTTCCTGACCCCTGATCTAGGATCTTACCTGAATTTCTCATTGTAACGTGATTAAACCTCATTCTTATTGCATCAAGTGCCATGTGGCTTTGGTACAACTTTCAGACAGTCAATTAGTTGCCTCACCATGCATGAGGGGAGTAGAATTAGCTTTATTTGTGGGCTGATACCCTGGATATTACTGTGTATGGATAATAAGAGGAGAATAGTTCTGGACAAAGTCAGATACCAATATGAGGCCTCACATGCTCTTGATAAGTGTGTTTCTATATCCCCTTTAATATTGTTCTTTTCTACACATTTCCCATATTGTTGTTGTTGTTTAAGATGCAGTTTAAGATAGCTTGTGTATATGCAGGGCTCCAAATGGAAATGGTGACTTCTTAATTGTAGTGCAGGTTCTAGGTGCACATGCCCTGGTATATACTTGCAATGGATTATGTACCATGATTTGGAAGTGTTAAGTCTTTGTCTGGAATCAGTCATCAAAAGGTTTATGGGATGGATTTTCACATCTGATTTTTAAGTCCCCTTTGCCTCTATTGAAGTTTACCAGACAGCTAATCAAATATTGTGATAAACTGATGGCCCTTCAGACTTTGGACTTCACTTCTTGTTTTTTCCAATCTGTGGCGCAAATCAGGTCCAATTCCCATCTCTCATCCTTTAGACCAGATATTATCAAGCATTTTTTGGTCACAGCCCTTTTAGGAGCTCATCTCATGTTCCAGGATCCCCTGTCAAACAAAGATACAACAAAATATGTATTTTTTTCCCAGGGAGTTCTCACATTTTTCAGTCTGTGCCCCCCATGAAATGTGTCAGGATTCACTGGGGCAGTGTGGGTGGGTTATACGGTCTTCTTGAGAATAACTGTTTTAGGCCAATAGAAGTCCTAAAGTATCTGAAGGGCCACAGACGCATGACTCTTGGGATCAAACATTCCAGGAAAAGAAAATGTATATTTACATGTTGCAGGTAGAATAACATGTAATATGAGAGCTATAATATTGATTCCTTCTTTTACAGTGAAAACATGTGGATCTAATCTTCAGGGACCTGGTGGCACTTTCACATCCCCTAACTTCCCATTCCAGTATGACAGTAATGCTCAATGTGTGTGGGTCATCACAGCTATCAATCCAAACAAGGTAAATTCAAACCTGAGAATATTTTAAGGCAGGTATCAAATTATTGAGAGAGAGAGAGAGAGACTAGTTTAGTATGACTTCTTCTAGAATTCTGCAGACTTGCTTAGGTTGGATAAGGGGTAGGACAACAAGTAATTATGTTGATTGCCATATTTATATTGTTTAAGGTTTAGCATTTTTATATTAGTTACTGGCCCATGTCTTTTGTCCTGTTTATTTCATTAGATCACTGCACCAGTAGCTCTCCAATAGCAAAGACCTACATTATAGTTGTCAAGATATCATGAGTTTCGCTTCAGGGGTTGTTTTTCATCATTCATTAACTAAGCTTGGTGTGTTATGGAGGTGACATATCTGGCCTCAAGCATAGATACAGAACTAGCTATACAAATAAGGTTGATACAAATTCAGATAGAGAGAAAAAGAGACTAAGGTCCCTTGTGACATTTAGTTGTCAAGTTAGTGACCAAATTAACAATTAAGAAACAATTAACAAAAATGGAGAGTAGAGGGTGCCCTAGATGTGGTGGAATCTTGGAAACGTGGCTGATTTTCCCTCTACACTCACTAAAGGGCACATTAGGTGTCCAGGGAGCCTGCAAAGATGCATTTGGGAGGTCTCATATGGCTCATATGGCACATTGGCTGCATTTTGCCCATCTTAAACATAATGTAAACAAGCATGTCAATAGAATAATAAACTTCTGTGAGGGTTCATTGTTCGGGGCTTCCCGCTCTTCCCAAGAAGGAGTCAAAACCGCTTTCTCTGCTGTTACCTTTTCTTTATTAAACGGAACAAACGGAACATCAGTTTTAACTGGTGACTTTGGTTTGGTCTCTCGCCCTAAAACCGGCTCAGGCAAGGGTATCCATGTAGTTTCAAAAACAGCTTTAACAGGTTCAGTATCCCAAGGTCCAACAGGGACCTCCCCCAACAGTTTTTCCTTTATTTCTTGATCAAACGGATTCAATAACGGGAGGGTTTCTTCGTCTCCCATCCAACCCCACGAAAGGTCTCCTTCCCTTGGCGAGGCACTCCAGGGACCAGGTAGCAGCCCATCTTCTTCAGCTCTTCTATATGCCATGCCTGTCTGACCGCCCTTTCCCTCTCACTTGCCTCCTTCACCTCGGTCAGCTTCTTACGCCATAGCTTAGCCTCCGTCTCCCCCAAATAAGAGGGTTTCTGCAATCAAGCCCCTCTTACGCCTCCTTTCGGCCTCCTCTCAAGGCACTCGCACCTGCTCCCAACGCTTGGTCTACGGATCCTCTATCCAGACCATCTCCCAACTACCGGGGATATCATTCCGCCTCACGGTTATATCCCCCAGCCCTCCTTCCTCTCTCTTTAACCCCACCTCCTCTCTTCCCTCCAAATCTTCCTTATAAGGACCGGGTGTCATTAACCCCTTGAGAGCTTCCTCCAAGTCGCTGGTATCAACCGCACATGACACCTTCCCCTCTGGTGTTGCTTCTCCTGACTCCTGTGCGCCGGCACCTTGGTCTTCCTTACGACCAGGGGAGGTAGGAGGGCTAGTCTGGGTCATTTTGGAAGTCTTTAAGAGAGTCGGCTCTACTAGAAAGACCCGAAGCTTCTGGTCTTTCCCGTCACAACTTCCTTGTTTATTCCCATTATTAAAATATGCTTTATCAACTTTGTGAAATTTCAATTTTAGTTAATGTCCCTTAATGAATGTTTTGCACAGCTAATATTAGTAATTAGTGTGAGCTCGCTTCTGCAGTAATTTTAAGTAGTTTCCTGTCTGTTTCCAGTTGTGGCTTTCCATGTCATCACTGCAAGCTCTGGCATACTTGGAAAACTAGATCTAGAGAGCTGGGGGAACTTCAGGAACTGAGCTCAAGCAGGGGGCAGTGTAAAGGTTTTATAGCAAGATCTAGGTAGATCAATCATCTCTTTAATAGAGAATAACAACAGGATAAACAATAAAAATCCTACAACCAATTATTTTATTTTCCATGGCTTATAACTATTTTACTAATTGAAGAGTTCATTTCACAAGTGTGTTTTGGAATCACTTCTCGCATCTGCTTGTGTTTGATGAGAAATGCACACTCTGAACTATCTCACCAATATTTATGTTAAATGAAAATTAAACACAGTTTATTTCCTCTGAGTTTATTCATACACTCAACGCTATCCCTTTTAAGATCAAATATCCTTTAAAAAGGCATAACATTTTGAAACAAGCCATTCCAAAATGTAAATGCAATGAGTTTTAAAACACTATAATAACTGGTGACATCATTAGCTCTTTATAGATTAATGTTCTTTTTCTGGAAAACAGAAAATTACAAACATAAACAGGCTGCTAATGATAGGAGTTTTGGAATCCATTAATTCATAAGGTTGTCATAAGTTGGAGGCAACTAATGGCATATAACAGGATCTTGATAATTAATGACTGAAACCTTGCCTCGTGTCACAATGGTTAAATTGCTGTATTGCAGCCAAAACTTTGCTGGGGTTCAATCCTAAGTAGCCAGCTCAAGGTTTACTCGGCCTTCCATCCTTCCGAGGTTGGTAAAATAAGACCTCAGCTTGCTGGGGGCACTATGTCTACCCTACAAATTTAAATTCTAAACCGCCCAGTAAGTGTTTTAAGCACTATGGGGAGCTATATAAACAGCACACATTTTTGTCCTGTAGGTTACACTGATGTCTTAGCAATAACAAATACACACATTTTTTTGTAAAAATTTTGTTAAAAAAAACCCTTCCTTAAGCTTGTCAGGTAACCATTGGGATCAAGGGAAAAGGGATGGTGGTCACTGACTACTGAAAAACACCACTGCTGGTAAAGGTGCGCTGGTGGTGGCAATTTTCAGTAATTAAAGACTCCCTGGTCATCTCGTAGCTCCAACTGCTTCCTGACAATGCAAGGGATTCCATGAGAGTGTCTGAATCTTTGGACCAGGGAGAATTGGGAATTTCTGATTTTTTTTTATTTCTGAAAGATTACCTTATTCATCCTAACTGTTCTTTATGGAACAATTTTGAGGCAGACAGGTAAAAGCAAGCTGGATGATGATGATGATTTGGCAACCTGGACATGTGCATCCTTACACATCCACAAATACATTGGCATGAAGACCCAAAATAAATCCTGTGAACAAGCTTCAGGGATTTAAGATGATCAGCTCCATATTCTGGAAACAAGGAGCTGGTGGGGGGTGGGAATGAAATGGCATTGGCTACTTTAATTTGGGATTTATTTTCCACAGGACAAAAGTGTCCAGCTAATGCTACTGTTTTTTATGAGCACATTTTCAAAGGCAGGCCATAAAGTGGAGAGTAGCATATTCTATCTGATCTTTTTTTCTATTAATACTGATGCAGAATTGTACAGAGACAGCAGTTTTTTTAAGATCCAAGAACTAGTTTAGATGTTTTATTTATCTGGAGCTTCTCAGTAGTGCATCAAGTTGTGCCAGACAGCATCACATTTTTGATGATTTCAGCAGTACTACATTAGAAATAGGATAATTCTGTGGTAGCTCATGCTGGATGTTGACAAGTGTAATAAAACATTTCAAATTGTAAAGTATCACTATGCCTTTGTTTTTGAGCCAAGTGAGGTTTGTACTCACTTTCTAAGAGATCTTCTATTCTAATAGACATTTAAAATCAATACAGTATGACTTGTTTAATCTACAGTTCTGCCATTTTAAAAAGTTACATGTTACACAAGAGACTGCTTCTTATATTTTGCATGAATAAAACCAAAGGGGCACTATGTTAGCCATTCTTCCTGTCATCGCCTCCAGTTATATAGAGGGAAATGATGAGGCTGGAAACAGGAGGACTTAGAATTTTGCCTAGAAACATAATACAGTGGTGCCTCGGCTTACGACCATAATCCGTTCCAGAAGATGGGGGTAACTTGAAATGGTTGTAAGTCGAAGCACCATTTCCCATAGGAGTACACTGAAACCCCATTAATCCGTTCCGCTGAAAAACAGCAACAACAACACCACACAGGAAGCCCCATCGGAACGTGATGGGGCTGAACGAAAAAAAACAACACCAAAAATAAACAGCACAGGAAGCCCCATCGGAACGCAATGGAGCTGAAAGAAAAAAACCCAAAACACACACCAAAAATAAACAGCACAGGAAGCCCCATCGGAACGCAATGGAGCTGAAAGAAAAAAACCCAAAAATAAACAGCATAGGAAGCCCCATCAAAACACGATGGAGCTGAAAGAAAAAAAATAAACAGCGCAGCCAGCCCCATCGAAACATGATGGGGCCGGAAAACAAACAAACAAACAAAAAACAGAGCAAGCCCCATCAGAATGCGATGGGGTGGAAAAAAACAACACCAAATACACACGAAACAAATCACAGCATAGAAACATAACCCCTCCAGCCCAAATGGGAAAAAAACAACACCAAACACACACAAAACAAATCACAGCATAGAAACATAACCCCTCCAGCCCAAACCCACCTTGCAAAACCCTGTAAATGTACTCACCCAAAAGCAGAAAGCAGCACCAGGTGGTCTGAAGCCTCTCTGCAAACGCACACACTCTAACCATTGGGGCGAAAGAGCTACAAAGAATCTCTTCTTTGTTACCAATGATTAGTACTCTAATTTGAATTCCCCACTTTTTTTCCCTGCCTCTTTTCTGTTTGTAGAATCTCTTCTTTGTAACTAACCAATGATTAGTACTCTAATTTGAATTTCCCACCTTTTTTCCCTGCCTCTTTTCTGTTTGCAACTCGAAGCTCCGATCACAAGTCGAAGTAAAATTTTGCGGCTGGAGCTGATTGCAACTCACCGAAGCTCCAATTGCAAGTCGAAGTAAAATTTTGCGACTGGAGATGATTGCAACTCAAAATGGTCGTATGTCAGGACAGTTGTAAGTCGAGGCACTTAGTAGCCAAAAAAGCTGCTAGAACGAGGGAGTCGCTTGCTCCTTATCCCAGCTAATGCTCTAGCCACAGCAGTCTAGATGAGATGAACTTCTCAAACACT